ATTTCAAAAGGAGGTTCAGCAAATATGCTTTTTTTCCAGGAAGCACAAATATTTTTAGTTAGATTTCAAGCAATATGGTGGTATTTTGAGTAGGAAAGAAATAGCAGGAGAGGGAGAAACAGGGAATGGCGAGGAGAAAGATGAGTAGGAGAGGAAGTGAGATACAAATATTATACATGTAAGCACAGTGGGATGAGGGACCGTGAGGGAAGTCTGACTGGGTTTCCTGTGTTAAAGCGTTTTTACTTCACACTTGGGCTGTGCTGTTTGGAATGTCACGGCCTCTCAGCCCCTTTTGAAATAAAATTTACCTGGTCCCATTCCTAATCCACGCCCTCCCATTCATTATTAACCAGTGCAACGCCGCCACCTGAACTGCTAAACTAAATTAGCCAAGGGGCTCAGGCTCCCCCCAGCTGAAGGTTCCAGATGTTTTAGTTCATCCTCCATGTATGTTAAAGAAGGATTTGTCATCTCTGATCCATTTTACTTCTTTCTGAGGCCTTGACTACCATCTGAAGCTGAATATTTATATGTCTGAAAAGTCGTGCCTGGATTAACTTACCTGGTCTGAATTTGGGGGATGTTTTGGTGCTTCTCTCAGTTGGGTGCTGTGGGAAATGAGTTCTGAGTAGGACTTGTAGATACTGAGAACAGTAGCAATCTGCATCTTCCCTGTGCTGCATGTTGTAACCTTGGACTTTCTAATTGAAAATGTGCAAATACAGAGAGCTGGCTTTGAAGGTCGCTCCACTCTGACTTATGCCAAATTTAGCTAAGCGCTCCTTTTTATGTAAGCTCAATGACTGCATCAAATAAAAATAAATGCTCTATTATTTATGCTGTCTCTTTCAGCCCCGGTGCAGCTCCCATGTATGGAATTTAATGTATAAGAGGCTACTGGTAGTTGTAGTACCCTTTCCCCTAATTGCTGATCTAGTGTTTCTGTTACATAGTGTTGAATGATCTTAGAGGGTTGACATCGAGGAAGAGGGTGTTGTAAAGGATTCTGTCCTAGAAGTCAGAGCTGAGAGATGCTTTAGTTATTAATCAATGTACCTGCTCATATTGGGGGTTGGAGAAATTTGTTCAAAGTCACAGAGGCGGCAGTGACCATCCTAGACTATACTCCAGCGTCACCTTTACCTGAGAACCAGCCCCATTCAGGCAGAGGAAATCCTGGGAAAAGAACATGGGCCATTTCCAGACAAAGCAGACCTGGTGCCCAGAGCAAGAATTGGGAATGGCTTGAGGGCATGGGGTGATTCCAGGGTAGAGGGAGAGAAGCACAGAGTGGTAGACTGAATTGACTTTGTAGTTTGAGATCTGTTTTGAGAGATGGGAATCATTGCATATGACTGAAAGTCATGCTTCGGGCTCCCACTGGCATTCAAAGAAGGTTCTGATGCCTGCTTAATAGTCTAAATTAAATTAAATCCCATAACTTTCAGCTCTTTCTATTTTTTTGGAGACCGTTCTGATGGCCTGCTTAATATCCTAAATTAAATTCCACAACTTTTAGCTCTGTATTTTTTTCCAAATCAAATGCAGTTGAAACACAATAAGCATCTCAGCCAAGCCAAAGTACACTTGAATAGTTTTAATGAGACATAGTAGACTTGGATGATAAGTAGTTCTGCACCTAACTGAAAATTTCTAGCACTATCAGTTTGATGTAATTATGGAACTTATCGCTCTAATTTTCAGAGCTCACTTTAGTGATCATGATCTGATTAATGAAAAATTTCTTGGTATCAAAAATCAGAAGAGACAGGAAGAGGATCTCCCACAGAGAAAATGGTAACTGTTCTCCAGACCTCGCCTTCGAAGCCACACACCTCAGTCTGCCCACCAAATGCCTCCAACGCCTCCCAAGTCACCTCCCCTCCACAGGAACCCAAGATTTTTATTAACAGTGCGTGGCAGAACCCTGACAGCGGGAGAGTGTTCCCTGTCTATAATCCAGCCAGAGGAGAACAGGTGTGTGAAGTTCAAGCAGCGGACAAGGCAGATATAGACAAAGCAGTTCAGGCAGCCCTCCTGGCTTTCTCTCTGGGTTCAGTGTGGAGAAGAATGGATGCTTGAGAAAGAGGACGTCTGTTGGATAAACTTGCAGACTTGGTGGAATGAGACAGGGCAGTTCTTGCAACCATGGAATCCCTAAATGGTGGCAAACCGTTCCTACAAGCTTTTTACGAGAATTTGCAGGGGGTCGTTAAAACCCTTTGGTATTACGCAGACTGGGCTGATAAAATTCACAGGATGACCGTTCCTGTAGATGGAGACTGTTTTACCTTTACAAGACACGAACCCATTGGAGAGTGTGGACAGATCATCCCCTGGGACTTCCCCCCAGCTGATGTTTGCCTGGAAAATTGCTCCGGCTCTGTGCTGGCACGATACAGTAGTTATTACACCAGCAGAGCAAATACCACTCAGCGCTCTCTACATGTGAGCCGTCATCAAGGAGGCTGGCTTTCCACCAGGACACACGCCATCAGCTGGGGCAGCAGTAGCTTCTCATGTTGGCATAGACAAGATTGCATTCACAGGGTCTGCTGAAGTTGGAAAGCTTCTCCAAGTTGCAGCCGGAAGAAGCAACTTAAAGCAAGGAACTCTGGTACTTGGAGGGGAAAGTCCCAATATTATTTTTGCAGATTCTGATTGGAACTATGCCTTAGAGCAGGCTCAACAGGGTGTGTTCTTCAACCTTCCTTGAGGGCTGTCACATCTTTGTGGAGGAGTCCATCTACGAGGAGTTCGTGAGAAGAGGTGCATAGTGTCCCCACTATTTGACCCTACCATTGAGCAGGGACCCAGATTGATAAGAAACAGTACAAGATCCTGGAACTCATCAGGGTGGTGTGGCCGAGGGCGCCAAGCTGGAATGTGGAGACAAAGGGCTGGGCTAAAAGGGTTCTTCATTGAGCCCACAGTGTTTCCCAGGGTCACAGATGACATGCGGATTGCCAAGGAGGTCTTTGGTCCCATTCAGGAAATTCTGAGGTTTAAGACAATGGATGAAGTTACTGAAAGTGCCAATAATTCCAACTTTGGACTCGTCGCCATCGTCTTTACCAGTGCAATCAACAAGACCCTCCCAATGTCTTCTGCAATGCAGCCTGGGACTGTTTGGATCAATTGTCACAATGCCTTAAATGCTGAGAGCCCCTTTGGAGGATTCAAGATGTCTGGAAATGGGAGAATTTGGTTTGCGAGAGTATTCCGAAGTTAAGACTGTGACAGTCAAGATTCCCCAGAAGAATTCCTAAGAAGGCCAAGAAGGAAGGCGAAGGCCTGCCTGCACGACCCTCCTCTCCACTCTCCCTGTGGGGCCCAGCTCTCAGAAACTCAAAGCTGACACTCGGTCCTTATTTAAAGATTTAGATGATAACACGTAGGCCAGGCCGGTCACTGCATAACAACTAGAGCAAACCAGCTGGGCACAGCTTCTTGGCATTCTGTAAGGGATCTCCTTAATGATACCAAATATTGGGGAAGGTGGGATGAAGGTAACAGAAGAGCTATCAGCACATCATGTGTCTCTTTCTGAAGTGAGGGCTGAATAAGGGAGCTGTATAATGTGATGCCTTTTGTCACAGAGAACTTGCCTCGTAAGGAAAGGTAACCTTTCCATTGTCTTCATTTTCCCCTTTCCAGACTCACCCTGCTCACCTACTCCGCCTGCTTCTCCAAGGAGATCTCAGCTGAGGTCATTTAGGGCAGATGTTTGGGCCAGGAACAATTGTCCAAGGTTTTGCTGCCAAATGACCGTTTCATGTTATCCATTTCTTCAAAGCAAAACGTGACATGGTTTTAGTTAGCGCCAGACCACACTGAAAATGCCAGGACCTGGTACACTGCAGATATACTAGGAAGTAAGCACTGGGGATACTCCTGACCCAATCTGGTTTTCTTGCACCCATAAATTCATGAGTTGGAGTGTCAGGAAGATGGAGATACAGAGATCGTCATGTGTAGTTCCCAGCTTCTGAGTTTGCTGTATGGCTTTGGGTTGTGTGTGTGTGTGCAAGCATTTAATTCCTTAGCTATCCAAGAATAAGGTAGAGGGTTTGGGTTGTTTTTCATAGATTGAGAAGATATTTTCCAGAGCTTATCTTTAAAATCAACCAAAACACTATCTGAGCAGACTCAGGAATTTGGAAAAAGGTAATGCTGGGTGCCTTGCAGAAATAATTTTGTTTCCAACATGGTTTGACAGTTCCTGCTGAGTGACTTTCCTGCAGTTGGATCTCTAGCTTCTGCCCTCCAGCCCACACTGCACAACACCTGCTACTACTCCCAATGATAAGGGTGTTCCTTTGGCCTATCATGCCTTAAAAGGCCCTAAATCCACAGGCAGTAACCTTGAAAAATCTGGCCAAGCCTGGAGGTTTGCCTTTTCCGTTTGCACAGTTCCAGTGTGGCACGAATGCCATGCTCCACTAGAGCTTCCGTCGTGCCCAGTGGCTCATCCATATACCATTGTTGCCTCTTGGCCTCTCGCAGGGGAGGTGAGAAGCAGGCTGGCTCCCTCTCCTCCCAGCCAGGCGCTCCCTCTTCTGCTATCCAGCGAATCCACCAATGTGATGTGAGCAGAGTCAGCGTCCTCTCCTTCCCTCTTTCCAGCAGCCAAATCCAATCCAGTCTCTCACCTAAATGAAGATCATTTATTTAGAAGTACCAAACAACCTAGAGTCTATGGAATGTCGGCAACACATATATTGCCTTCTGTATTTAACTGTGTTCTGCTTTCTAACCATAACCAGTTTTCTGTTTCTAACCCTTGTCTACTCATATGTTAAAGAAATCTCTCCTTGCTGTTATTTGCAAATGACAGTGCATTCAGAGGCTCAATGCCTTGAGAGATGCCACATTTGAGTTTCCCTGTGAATGTTCTGCTCTCCCCTTATCGTGTGTGCCCAAGTGAACGTATCCTTTAACCAGCTCAATATAGAATGTGAAATTCTATATTCAATATTCTATATTCAATTCTATAATTGTAATCTAGAATGTGAAAATGAAGATTTCTTTCTTTCAGTTTACTTAAAAAGAAACCTGTGTGCTAGCAATAAAGCATTTATATTGTGTGAAAAAAAACCCAGAAGAGATAGAAATATGCAATTGAATTCTGCATTGCTGACCTACCGTTTTCAGCCTTTATTCTGAAGTCATGAAAATCTTCTTTTTACAAACCAAATAAACTTCTTACAAGTAAACCTTTACTTTTTATTTCATAACTGAGGAGATAATTAATAGGTTTTCATGAGGCTTAATTGTTATAATCCTTAAGAAAAATATAAACATGGACTTTAAAGATAATATAAAGGAGTCCCTCTAATTTGTTCTGTTTGTTTTGCAGGCTACAGGCTCCAGGCTTGCTGTAATTGCCCAGAATATAGCAAATCTTGGGACAGGCATTATTATATCTTTAATCTATGGCTGGCAATTAACACTTTTACTCTTAGCCATTGTACCCATCATTGCAATCGCAGGACTTATTGAAGTGAAAATGTTGTCTGGACATGCACTAAAAGATAAGAAAGAACTAGAAGGTGCCGGGAAGGTGAGTCAAGCTAAGTGTGTAATTGCTTACCTAAGTACAGTAAAAGATTCTAATCAGTGTTCTGTTACTGTTACTCACTACTTCTTATACGCTGCGAGAGTGTTTTTATAAGCATTCCTTAAAGCAATCTTATAACTCAATAACAAAAAATAAAGAACCTGAGCAAAAAATGGGCAAAGGACATGAAAAAACATTTCTCCAAAGAAGACACACAGATAAGGCTAATAGACGTTTGGAAAGATGCTCAACCTCACTATTCATCAGGGAAATGTAAATTAAAACCACAATGAGATACCACCTCACTCCTGTCAGAAGGGCTATCATCAATAAATCTACAAACAACAAGTATTGGTGAGGATGCTGAGAAAAGGGAACCCTCGTGCACTGTTGGTGGGATTGTCAATTGGTGCAGCCACTATGCAAATCAGTATGGAGGTTCCTCAAAAAATTAAAAATAAAACTACCATATGACCCTGCAATTCCACTTCTAGGTATGTATCCAAAGAAATCCAAAACACTAATTTGAAAAGATACATGCACCCCTGTGTTCACTGCAGCGTTATTTACAATAGCCAAAATACGGAAGCAACCCAAGTGTCCATCGATAGGCAAATGGGTAAAGAAGGTGTGGTGCATATATGCAGTGGAATATTACTCAGCCTTAAAAAAGAATGAAATCTTGCCATTTGTGACAACATGGATGGACCTAGAGGGTATTAATGCGAAGTGAAATAAGTCAGGCAGATAAAGACTACTATATTTCACTTATATGTGGAATGTAAAAACCAAAATAAATGAACAAACAAAACAGAAATAAATTCATGTTGCCAGAGGGGGGTGCTAGAAGATTGGGTGAAAAAAGTGAAGGGATTAAGTACAAATTGGTAGTTATAAAATAGTCACAAGGATGTAAACTACAGCATAGGGAATATAGTTAATATTGTAGTTACTATGTATGTTGTCAAATGGGCACTAAACTTATTGGGGTGATTATTTTGTAAATTGTATAAGTGTCTAATCACCATGTTGTACCCCTGAAACTAATATAATATTGTATGGCAACTGTAATTGAAAAATAAATTTAAAAAACATAATTGAATGATAGAAACTTCCTGGAAAACAAATTGATAATCTGTGCCATGTTTCTTATAAATTAGTTTATTCCCTTTGACCTAGGAATTTCACTTTTAAGAACTTCTCCTAAGAAAATAATTCAACATTGACAAATGTTTATTTACAGGATGATTATCACAACATTTTTTTGAACAAGAAAAGAATGGAAAACCTTGTTCAATAATAAAGGCATGCTTAACTGGCTGGGATGTTAAGTGACCCATTAAACACCCTATTAATGTATATTTAATGACATTAGAAAGTGCTCTTGATATTTGTTAAAGTAAAAAATAATGATATAAGACAAAATATAGAATTATATTCCAATTTTATTAAATATGCATATGTTTAGGAAAAAATCGGGTAAGCTAATATGTAAAATACACCAATGTGAATTTTTTATTATCTTCTTTACCTTTTTAATATTTTCCCAATATTATTTAGTTGTCATGAATGATAATTATAAAGAGAAAGACAAACATCGCATTTTAAAAAATATATAAAATAATTATAAACTTAAAATATGACCGTCGTAGAAGAAAAAGCACTGCAATAGATGTAAAATACTGAGTTCTCATGTTAATTTTGCCACTGTAAAGCTATGTAGCTTTAGGTAAATGCTTATCTGGTTAGGCCTGGGCTTGTCTTTCTGTAAAGAAGAGATTGAAAGTCAATCTTCCTTCCAGATCTAAGACTTGACTTGATAAATTACTTAGTATCCTTTTCCATAGCAGAGAAACTCAGGTCATAATAAATTCATGCAATTAATTTAATTATTAGATATTATTTACCTCTGTTATGGAATTCAAGCCACCATTCATCTTTCTGCCTCTCAGTGACTAGGTGTTCTCTGTTACAGATTGCTACTGAAGCAATTGAAAACTTCCGAACTGTAGTTTCTTTGACTCAAGAGCAGAAGTTTGAATATATGTATGCACAGAGTTTGCAAATACCATACAGGTAATAACCATCGAAGAGCAGGAGGGGAGGGTGGGAGTTTTTCAATCATCAGACTTGTTTTCAGGGGGATGACTTTGGCCGGAAGGTAGGGAACAAGTGGAGAAACTATTAGAAGGGAACCATTTTGGGGAAGTACTTGTAATTATCCAGGAGAGAAATCATAAGACTTTGACCTCAGGCCGGGGCATCTCTGAGGCTGAACCTGTACAATTGGTGTCTGATCCCCTGACTGATGGGAAGGGAGGGAGACAGTATATTGAGAAGGACTCTCTGATGCCAAGTTTGGATAATGATCCTTTTATTTGCTTTTCTTGGGAATGAGTTCTCTGCGGAACGCGAAATCTGAGGCATCTGTGGGACCTGAGGTGGTGGTGCTTCTTGAAGTATGCCTTTCTTCTTCTTTTTACCTTTCTGCAGGAGAGACCTTCTGGTTCTTCCTTTAATGAATTCATCTAGTGAGAGTTCTAAAACGTGATCCAAACATAAGCAAGCCCAACCTCTAAGTCTCAGTTTCTTCTATGGTAAAAGCAAAGAGCTGGCCTTCCTGATGGGTTTTCAAACTTGTTGTTGTTGTTGTTGTTATTGCGATAGTAGAGCCTTTTTCTCTGAAAATAGTTTTATTTGAAATCCCAATAGATGAAGTAGGTAAAAGCAGAGTTGAAGCAGGGGGAGGAGGCCTTTAGGGCTGCCCGCTCACCAGCCTGCTCTTAACCTTCACATCACCCAATTCCATGTGGTTCAGAAAACCCACAAATGTTAACTCCTTTGTGAAACCTTCTCTACCTCCCCCAGAGAGTTAATGCTCCCTCCTTTCTCCCTACATAACATGTTACAAGGTACCTCCATTGCATAAATTATAATCCAACTTGACTCCTGGTTTACCTGAGGGCAAGAACCGCCTGATTCCTCTGTGTTGTCCAACATGGCCTCTGCAGCTTGTAGGTGATGGATAAATGTGTGTTGAGTGAATGTTTACTACAGAGTGCATCCATGTTATATGTCCAAGAATGAGGGGAAAAGGGACACTTCCATTTATTAATCCCTACTAGGCTCTTCATGTTTTCCTTGGCTTATTTTAACTTTACCTCAGCATTTTGAAATGTGGTTAATCTTCCATTAAAAATGAAGATACTACAGCTCAGACGGGGCAGTTTCCTAAATTCTCACAAATGGTAAAGTGAGGACCAAAGTTAGGTTTTTGGAAACTAAACCCACTTTTGTGTGCCATGCCTCTATGCCCCAACTGCTAACTGATCAAAATCAAGTAAATTTCAAAATGTCTTCTTTTCAGAAACTCTTTGAAGAAAGCACACATCTTTGGAATCACGTTTTCCATCACCCAGGCAATGATGTATTTTTCCTATGCTGGTTGTTTCCGGTTTGGTGCCTACTTGGTGGCACATAATTTCATGGACTATGAAGGTGTTCTGTTGTAAGTATCAGATTAATATTTGCACTAACGTTCTAGAAATAAAACAGGTGAGTATGCTTCATGCCTGGATGGAAAACTTCTACTGTGAGGCTTCAGGAAGAGATTTGAGTGATTCACAAGGTAGCATTTGGCCTCTGAGTCCGTGTGTTGTCATTGAAGTACCCTGTTTCATTTGGGGAATCAGTGACTTCTCCTCTTCCCAGTGCTGACTGAGACATTTGACCTTTTCAGAGCTGTGGCTAGGTGGAGTGGTGATTCAATAAGGGGTTTCCAGAAAGCCTTGACATTTGGAAAGAAACCTAACCTTGATCCAAGTATCTGGCCCTCTTTAAAGGACTCTGCACAGGGCAGCTAAAGAATGGGTGCGGAGTGGTGCAAGCCCCGGCAGATTCCAGGCTAAATTTGCTGCTTTGATAAAAGAAAAGAGCAGTTAGAAGGTAAGAACTGGAGAATTTCAGAAATGACAAAGGAATGCTAGATTGGGATTTCTGCTCCATTGCTGTGAATGCAGAAAATTGTACCTCGGTCGGGGGAGACAGGCCTGAATTTGATTATCCTTCTGAAGTCCTCAGGTATGTGGTTTGGTATTGGAAAGTGTGTGTAATCTTTCTGAGCATCTAGATTTGGTGATGGGTAAGATCCTGCCCTTTGACTGCATACCAGAATTTGTAGTAATGCAGTTTTACATTTCAAGCAGAATCACTTCAGGCTGACAACATCATGTGTTAGTAGAATATTTTCATCCTATTGGGACTTG